GTTACACCACGGTCTTCCCCTTGCGGAGCAAGGCGGATGTCCCTACTGTTTTGATCCCCTGGATCCGCGCAGTTCGTCTCCAGCTCCGCGAGCGGTTCCGGTCGGACTTTCCTGTCCTGCGTCTGCACTCTGACAGAGGTGGTGAGTTCTCCTCCGACCTCTTGGCAGCCTACTGTGCGGAGCGCGGCATCCGCCAGACGTTCACGCTTCCGGCCTCTCCGCAGCAGAATGGGGTTGCTGAGCGCCGCATTGGCTTAGTCATGGAGGTTGCTCGTACCTCCATGATCCATGCGGCTGCCCCCCATTTTCTGTGGCCGTTTGCGGTTCGGTACGCCGCGCATCAGCTCAACCTCTGGCCCCGTGTCTCCTTGCCGGAGACCTCGCCCACACTGCTGTGGACGGGGAAGGTTGGCGATGCGTCGCGTTTCCGGGTCTGGGGTGCTCGTGCCTTTGTCCGCGATACCACCGCGGACAAGCTCTCCGCCCGCGCTGTTCCCTGTGTCTTCCTTGGCTTTGTCACTGACGCGCCTGGTTGGCAGTTTTACCACCCCACCTCGCGCCGTGTCTTTGCGTCTCAGGACGTCACGTTCGACGAGTCGGTTCCCTTTTACCGTCTCTTCCCCTACCGCACTGCCCCCCCCCCCCGCCGCTCTTCCTCGCTCCAGGTGCTCCCCAGGTAGACCCCCTCCCCGCTCCAGGTCCTGCTCCTTCAGGTGTTTCTCAAGTAGACCCTCCTCCCTTGACTGTGCCGGTTGAGGTCACTGGTGACTCAGGTCCTACTGAGGGTGGTCCTGCTCGGGGTGCTACTTCTGGGGGTGCTGAGCCTAGGGGTGCGGAGCCTGGGGGTGCTGAGCCTGGGGGTACTGAGCCTGAGGGTGCGGAGCTTGAGGGTGTGGAGCCTGGTGGTGCTGAGCCTGAGTGTGAGGGGTCTGGGGGTTCCGAGCTTGGCGGTACTGACGCTGGAGGTTCTGGAGCTACTGAGGGTGCTGGCACTGGAGGTTCAGGAGCTGCTGGAGGGCCTAGTACTGGTGGCGCTGGAGCTGGAGGTTCTGGAGCTGCTGAGGGTACTCGCGCTGGAGGTTCTGGAGCCGCTGGAGGTACTGGCGCTGAGGGTGCTGACACCGGAGGTTCTGGAGCAGTTGGGGGTGCGGGCGCTGAGGGTTCTGAGTCTGCTGCTGCGCGGTCTCCTTGGAGTAGCCGCCTTCGTCCACGTGTGCCTCTCACCTCACAGCAGCTGCAGGACTGGTACGGTCGCCGTCCGCGTCGCGCTGCTGGAGCCCGGGGCTCTGCTGCTGGAGGTACTTCTGCTGTCGTCCCTGGAGCTAGGAGTGGTGCTGGTCCTTTGTCTACTGGAGGTGCTGGAGTCGCTGGTTCTGGAGGTGCTCGTGCTGGAGACACTGAGGCTGGAGACCCTGGGACTGGAGGTGCTGGTTCTGGGGGTGCTGCTGCTGGAGACACTGAGGCTGGAGACCCTGGGACTGGAGGTGCTGGTTCTGGGGGTGCTGCTGCTGGAGACACTGAGGTTGGAGACCCTGGGACTGGAGGTGTCGGCTCTGGGACTGGAGCTTCTGGAGCTGCTGGAGGTGCTGGAGCTGCTGGAGGTACTGGAGCTGCTGGAGCTGCCGGTACTGGTGCAGCTGCGCCGACACGACTGTTCTTCGCTCCGCCGTCTCCGTCGTCTCTGCCGCCGTCTGACTCTGTTCTTTGTCATGTTCTTACTCTCCCGTCGTCTACTGGTCTTCCGTTACAGCCTGGCTCACCGCTGCCTGCTCCTTCTCCTTACACTGAGCAGACTGGTAGTCCTGCTGAGCGTCGTGAGCCTGCGTCGCGTCCTGTCTCGCCTGTTCGTCCTGGTCATACCGGTCGTCGTGTTCCTCGTTCGCGTCAGCCGGCTGTCCCCAGCGCACACCTCGTAGTCCGTCGTCCTTCCTCTGTTCCGCAGTCTGTTCCTCTGCCGTCTCCTCCTGCGTCCTCTTTGCCTGACGTTCCGGACCCTGAGTCTGACCGGTTTCGTGCTGAGCACCCTACAGTCACGCGTCTGCTAGCCACTGTTGTCACTGACCCGTCGTTTGAGTCTACTGCTGCGTCTGCTCTTGTCGCTGAGCTTGTTGACTTTGCTGCTGCCTGTCATCTAGACTACGCTGCCAACCTTGTTGCTGAGTCTGAGTCTGTCTGTCCTCCGTCCGTCGGGGGTGAGTGTGCTCTTAGCACGGACGTCCTTGAGGACAGGCACGAGGACCTTGAGTCTCTTGCAGCCGCTGCGCCTCATCTCGTGGCCATGCTGCTTGCCCCTGAGGGAGACCCGGATGCACCAGACATCCCGACCCCGCGCTCTTACGCTGAGGCGATCGCGGGTGAGTACTCCTCTCAGTGGCAGACAGCCATGGACGCAGAGATGACATCCTGGAAGTCCACAGGCACTTACGTCGATAAGGTTCCCCCTCCTGGGGCGAACATCGTCGATGGCATGTGGATTTTCAGGGTGAAGCGGCCGCCAGGTTCTCCGCCTGTCTTCAAGGCTCGTTACGTTGCTAGAGGCTTCAGTCAGCGAGAGGGAGTTGACTTCTTTCAGACCTTCTCCCCCACCCTGAAGATGACCACTCTTCGGGTGCTGCTGCACATTGCCGCTCAGCGTGACTACGAGCTTCACTCTCTAGACTTCAGCACAGCTTTCTTACATGGCAGCCTGCACGAGGAGATCTGGCTGCGCCGCCCACCTGGCTTCACTGGGTCGTTCCCTCCTGGTACCCAGTGGAGCCTCCGGCGGCCAGTCTACGGTCTCCGCCAGGCGCCACGTGAGTGGCACGACACACTGAGGACGACACTGGCGGCTCTTGGGTTCGCTCCTTCGACAGCTGACCCGTCGCTGTTTCTGCGCACCGACACTTCGCTGCCACCGTTCTACATCCTCGTGTACGTCGACGGCTTGGTCTTTGCCACTGCTGACACTGAGGCTCTCGCTCAGGTGAAGTCGGAGCTGCAGAAGAGACACACGTGCACAGACCTGGGTGAGCTGCGCAGTTACCTTGGCTTGCAGATCACTCGGGACAGAGCACGTCGCACCATCACACTGACTCAGTCACACATGGTGCAGCAGGTCCTTCAGCGCTTCGGCTTCACCTGGTCCTCTCCACAGCACACTCCTCTGGCTACAGGTCACTCGCTCTCAGCTCCACCTTCGGACGAGTCCGTAGAGCCGAGTGGTCCTTACCCAGAGCTAGTGGGCTGCCTCATGTACCTGATGACCTGCACTCGTCCTGACCTTGCGTACCCTCTTGGCCTTCTCGCTCGCTACGTGGCTCCTGGTAGGCACCGACCAGAGCACATGGCTGCTGCTAAGAGGGTACTGCGCTACTTGTGCAGTACATCGGGCATGGGGCTCGTGCTTGGAGGACGGAGTGAGGTGGTCCTCACTGGGCACTCAGACGCGTCTTGGGTTGACGACCAGACTACTCAGCGGTCGTCATAGGGTTACACCTTCAGCCTTGGCTCTGGCTCTGTTTCTTGGCGGTCTACACGCTCGTCTTCTGTTCTCAGCTCCAGTTGTGAGGCTGAGATCTACGCCACCGCCATGGCTGCACAGGAGCTACGCTGGCTCACCTACCTGCTGACTGACTTGGGTGAGCGGCCTCGTTCTCCTCCAGTGCTGTACGTTGACAACAAGGCGGCCATTGCCTTGTGTGAGGAGCACAGACTGGAGCACAGAACGAAGCACATTGCTCTGCGTTACTTCCTGGCTCGAGAGTTGCAGCAGCGAGGCCAGCTTCGTCTTCGCCACGTGGCCACTCGGGCCAACACTGCTGATATATTCACCAAGGCACTTCCGTCTGGTGATCATCAGCGCTTTTGTACTCTGTTGGGCCTTGTGCCTACGTTTCCGCACTTGCTGTAGTCTCTGCTTGTACTGTGATTTATATATACACCTGCATGCTGACTCTTGTTAGGTAGTCATCACTGTACTGTTATTGTTGCATATATATCTCTGCATGTGAACTGGCCTTGTGGCCCTTTGCTTGTGCTCAGAATGTGTGGTGACGTTGGGATCCACCCTGAGCTTGTTTTGTTTCTCTTGACTGGTCGTGTGACCCCTTGTTCTCCCCCACTTTGCCTATGGGGGTGTGTCAAACTATATGTGCTGCATAGTGTCTAGGCTGTAGTGGGGTAGCCCATATGGGGTACAACCCAATTAGGGTTTACTACTTGTACTCCTGCATCCTGCTAGTTCACTCATTCCTGCTGCTAGATTCTAACAAGTTCATCTTCGACCGTCAGATCGAAATCTGACAACATCAACGGCCTTCAATCCAACCTTTTCAAAAATATTGTCTGAGGCATTTCAGCCGTCGGATTCAGCTGAAGAGGAGATCTTCGAAATCCTCGCTAGTGTGGGGCTTGTTTCAGTACAGGGCTGCCTTCTTTGGAAGGTGGGAGAGTGTAAGGAATTACAATTCCTTACTGTACTCGCACTTTAGCGAGTACATCCCGAAGGTGTCGCGACGAACCTGTTCGGCCTATTTCGTCGGCCGAACCACTCCCGAGCCGGCCTCTGCTCCAATCGTAGCCATCACCAAACCATCCCATCCCGAACCCCCCGCCTAGCTAGGTTTTCCCCTATTTAGGCCTCGCTACTTCATTGTTCAGTCATTCTGTAATCAGTCATTCTCGTTATTCGATATCTGCGCACTCTGACAAGTTCATTCATAACAATACCCGATACTTAGACTTAGTCTAGTGTTCGGCTTTTGAAACTGACAGCAGCAATATACGAGGAATGTGGAAAGAACTATATCCATTGCGATCAGACATTTCACATAAGTTCAAATTGTTGAAGTCAACTGTATTCATTTTCATTCTTCTACGGATGCTATTACAATCTGCACTACGACCAGCCGTTGACATCAAGAATTTTAGCACCTGACGCTCGCATTGTTGGTATCCTCTTGACAATGATTGTTTAGCAGTGGCCCCAACCAGCCGCAATCATCACACACTAGAGCAGATCATCTTCTGAAGGCACTCGAATCGCCCCTTCCCTTCTCCAGGAAGTGTGAGCGGCGGCGAATGCTGCTCTCTATGGACATGCCCGTACCCGCCGCCTGAAGCGCCGCATCGCCTGCCGCCCCACTGCCCGCCCCATACACCTCCTTCTGCGCCTCCTGCTCACACAGCCACAACCACAACCATGCTCTCTTACATGCTTATTGACAGAACCGGCACAAGGAGATTGACGAAAGAGCTATCACAACTTGGAGGTGAGAATGTACAAAGAAACGCACTAGATAAGGATGATACAATTCAGAACGGAAAGGCAGCAACAAGCAAGCGAGTGCAAGCCTACCCGGAGGAAGGTCCCACGAGCAGCAGCAGCACCCTCCTTCTCCTCGCGTGCATCTCGCTGCGCCGCCCACTGGATGCGCTCCCGCCTCTCCCCCTCCACCGCCTCCGCATTCTCCTCCATCTCCGCCAGGCGCCGCCGCCTCTCCTCCTCCGTCATTTTCTCCCGCCCCTGCCGCCCCTGCCGCCCTCCCCCCGGCCTATTCTGGCCGCCACTGCCAGGGCCCTCCTCTCTCCTGCCCGCGCCCGTGCCTACCCTAACACCAGACTCCAGGGCAGCAACAGCAGCAGCAGCAGGTGAGGGTGCATGGGCAGGGCGTGCGGGCGGGGCGGAGCGAGGAGGGGAGGGGGCCATGCGGTGGAAGGAGAGGCCGTAGAGCGGCGCTGCTCTGCGCCCCTCCCCATCCCCATCACTGCCGTCTGACGGGCTGTCATGCCTCTGCCTCGCGCCTCCTGCCCTCGCTGACAATCCACCACTCCTCTCCCCAACCTCCTGTGCTGTGTGCGCTGCACCCTTGCCACTGCCTCCCCTGCCACCGCCTCTCCCACGCTCACCCGCACCATCACTCTCCCCATCGCTCTCCGAAGGGCTGTCATGCCTCTGCCTCGCACCTCTTAATGCCTCCACTGCTTCACCTCTCTCTCCCTCACTCCCTTCTCTCCCTCCCTCCCTCTTTTCCCTCCTTCCTTCACTCACATCCCTTGCGTTCCATTCCTCTCCCTCTTGTGCACTCGCTGCTTCCCGTCCCGACCCCACTCTTCTCCCTTGCTCTTCCCATCTCCCCCGTCTTCCCATTGGCCCAGAATCCTCATCCCTCCTCTCCCTTTCATTAGGATTCCTCTCCTCCCCTCTTCCCCTCTCGCTTCTCTCCCTTCCATCTCTGTTCCCGTGGCCATACCTCTCCCTCTCGTCCCCCCGTCCCCTCTCACTCCTCTCCCTCCCATGCCTCCCCCTCTTGTTCCCCCCCTCTTCCTCATTCCTCTCCCTCATATGCCTCTCTTTCTCACTCCTACCATAATCATTCCTCTTCTCCCTCTCACCTCTGCCTTCCCTCTCACCTCTCCCGTCCCTCTCACCTTTCCATCCCCTCTCACTCCTCTCCTCTCCAGCTCTCCTCTCACCAACTCGCCCTTCGCCTTCTCCACCCATCCCTCTCCCACGCTCCATCCTTCCCTCCCCATCATTCCAACCATGCCTTCCCTCCTTGCCACCCTTCCAGCCATCGGCCTCCCTGCTCCCTCGCTCACCATCCCACACATGCCGCCTTCCCCCTTCACCTGCGTCACACCCTCTACCACCCACTTCCGGCACTTTCTCCTTCCCACGCTGCCCCATCCCTCCCTGCTCTGTCTCGCCTTGTCTTTGCCCTTCCACTCCCCCTCTGCCTCCACCACGCCTGTCCTCCCCACTCTCCTTGCGACCACTATCATCACTGTCACTGTCGCTGCCACTACTGCTGCTCTCACTCTCGCTCTCGCTCCGCTTCCTCCGTTTCTTCCTCTCCCTCCTCGCCCGCCGCTCCTCCTTACGCTTCCTCTTTCTCTCTTTCTTCTCCCGCTTCCGCTCCTTCTTGCTTTGCGTCTTGCCCTTAACCGCCTCAGCCTGTGTAAGAACAAACGATACAAGACAAAACGATCTGGCAATGAGCTTGCAATGCGATCAAAGCACACCCGGGATGATCCCCCCCTTTTCCCTATCACTCCACTCTTTCCTTTTCACCTGCTTGCTCCCTATCTGCACCCTACTAGTTGTGTGGCCCTCCCGACCATATCGACCTCCCCACCCACCCCACCCTACCCACCATCCCCCCATTACCCCCCTCTCTGCCGCACCTGAGCGCGGATCATCTGCATCCAAGGTTGTTGTGCATGCCTTTGAACGGTGCACCATCCCCGCCTCACAATCCCTCCATCCCCTTCCAACCCCTCCCCTTGCCCCCCCCCTCCCCCCCTGCCTCACCTGAGCGCGAATCATCTGCATCTTAACGGGGTTGTTGTTAATGCGGGTCAAAGCTTCCTGCTCGCGCTGCCGGATGAGCACGAGAGGGTCCGAGTGCAGCCGCCGCCACCCCCACCACCCCCCCAATACCCCCCCTCCTCCCTCACCTGAGCGCGGATCATCTGCATCTAAACGGGGTTGTTCTTGATGCGGGTTAAAGCTTCCTGCTCGCGCTGCCTGCTGTGCTTTCTGCCTGCCTGCCCCCCTCCCCCCTCTTTCCCCCTGCCTCACCTGGGCGCGGATCCTCAGCATCTTAACAGGGTTGTTTTTAATGGCTCCTCCTGTTGTGCTGCTGCCTGTCTGCCTGCCGCCCCCCTCCCCCCCTCTCCCCTTTCCCTCCCCCTCACCTGAGCGCGAATCATCTGCATCTTAACAGGGTTGTTCTTGATGCGAGTGAGCGCCTCCTGCTCTCGCTGCCTGATGAGCAGGAGCGGGTCTGAGTGCAGGCGCCGCCACATCTCGTTCGCACTCACCACCGGCGGTCCTCCCTGCTCGTCCTCGTCCGCTTCGAACAGAGAGCCGGGCACAGTAGATGCCTGCCGTGCGGGGAAAGAGGGATTGGGGGAAGGGGGGATGAGCAGGAGAGGGTCTGAGTGCAGGCGCAGCCACATCTCGTTCGCACTCACCACCGGCGGGCCCCCGCCCTGGTCCTCGTCCGCTTCGAACAGAGAGCCGGGGACAGTGGACGTCTGGGGTGCGAGGGAGGGGGGAGGGGGGAAGGAGGGATGAGCAGGAGCAGGTCCGAGTGCAGGCGCCGCCACATCTCGTTTGCACTCACCACCGGTGGTCCGGCCTGCTCCTCATCTGCTTCAAACAGAGAGCCGGGGACAGTGGAGGCCTGCAGTACGAGGGGCGGGGAGAAGAGTGTGGGGGGAGAGAGTGGGAAATGGGGAGGAGTGGGGAGGGGTAAGGGGGGAAGAAAGTGGTCCCCCCTCCCCTCATCATCTGCTTCGAACAGAGAGTCGGGGACAGTGGACGCCTGGGGTGCGGGACGAGGAGAGGGGAAAAGGTGGAAGATTAGAGGGAAGAGAAGAGGAGAGGGGAAAGGGGTAGGAGGGGAGCATGAGTGCATGCGTAGGGAGGGACGAGTGGGGCCATGCGGGGCGCACATTGGAGATGGGCGGGGGAGCGCCTGTGTGCGCGGAAGCGGAGAAGTCCACCTTCTGCGACATGAGCTCGTCTGTCGACGCCCCTCCCATGCCACTCATGCCGCTCCCATGCTGCCCCCATCCATGCCCTTGCCACTGGCCGGAAATGAGGAATGCCATGGTACCAACCTTAGAAATAGGCGGGGGAGCGCCTGTGTGCGCGGAAGCGGAGAAGTCCACCTTCTGTGACATGAGCTCGTCAGTGGACGCCCCTCCCATGCCGCCCATGCCCCCTCCCTCCATGCCCTTGCCGGTCGACAGCCCTGACTCATACAGGAAGTCCACTCGCTGCTGCAGCCTGGAGGACGGGGTGTGGTGGGGCGCAGTGGGGCACGGAGGGGCACGGTGGGGTGCAGGGGGTTTTCGAGGAGCCTCAAGAGTCCTCCATGCCCTTGCCCGTCGACAGCCCTGACTCATACAGAAAGTCCACTCGCTGCTGCAGCCTGCGCGAGAGGGACAGGATAGGCAGGGCAGGCGGGGCGACAGGGGAAGGAGGGTTCGAGGGAAAGGGAATTGCCGGGCCCTGATCTGATCCATGCCCTTGCTGGTGGAGTGGAGAGCCCTAACTCATACAGGAAGTCCACCCGCTGCTGCAGCCTGTGGGGCGAGGCGCGGTGGGGTGAGGTGGTTGGGGAGAAAGTAAGGGCCGGGTTCGGAGGCTCTTGAGGCAGGGATGAGGCTGGATTAAGAGGACGCTTGACATGCTGCTTCCCAAGGCACACAGGCGGCACTCGCGATGGGAGGCTCGACGGATTGCCGCGAGTGTGGCGCGGCGTGGGCTGCTGGAGACCAACACAACACGCATCGTCGCAGATTGTGGCGCGGGCTGCTTGAGAATTCTCAAAAAACAATCTGCAGCGATGCGCTACGAAGATCGCTAACGTGTCGAGAGAAAAATTGACAACTCTGTTGCTTTTCCAAGAACCGTACGGTACGATGAACGACGGGCGGTTTGGTTTAAGCGCGAAACGCGTACGAGATGAGGCCTCGCCAGCTCTCGGCGGCCCGACGAGCCGGGGATACCGAGAGGACTGACGGAATCGCGTGCGCCAGCGGGCCGATGCACAGTAGCCGCGCTATGGAGAGAAGAAATCTAAGCAGCGGGCACTTACGGGACGAGTCCCGCCTGCTCGCGCAGGCGCTGGAACTCCTCCGCCTCGCGCTCCTCCGCGATCTGCTTGCGCAGCTCGTCCACCTTCTTGCGTTCGTCCGCCTCGCGCTGCTCCGCCTTCCACACCTTCTCCACGTTGCGCAGACTTCCCGTGTGCCACCCCTTCTTGTTCAAAAACTTTAGCGCCATCGCGGTCGATTCGCGGGTGGATTAAATTGCGGGAAATGAGGTACGAGGCGTAGGGCCGCGGCGAAGGCTGATGACCGACGGAGGTGGTGTGGGAGAAAGGTTCAGTCAGTCATGTGGGGTGCAAGCGGCTCATTTGGGCTCACGAGTCAAATACCCGCTTTAGAGCTACTCGGTTCGATAAGCGTAGAGACTCAGTAGGCCACAGTAAATACAAGAACACAGGTATCTAGCCGTTACTTTAGTACCCAGCGTCCTCCACAATATTTCCTCCCGATCAGATAAATGGATAACAAACATGGCAAGATAGAATAACATGCGGTTTGTGGATTTATGTGAATATTCCAATACTTTGTTTTTGAACGATCTTATCTGATTTGATCACTTGACTAACCACATGGGCTCACCTAGTTAAAAAAAAAGGCACATGTTAAAATACTCATTATGTCAGGATGACATTTATTGAGTGTTGATTGCTTTTTCATCGCTCGTACGCTTTGGTAGACAGTGTGCGTAAAAATATCTTTTTGCTGGCAAGGTGACGAGCCAAGCTCTTGTTTTGCGGGAATATCTAGGGCCGCCATGGCTCCCGTGGCGCCAGCAGCCGCCATGGCTGACGATCTGGAACCGCAGTCTCTCAAGAAGCTAGTCCTCCGATCGCTGAAGCGCACTTACGAGTTCTTCGATTCGCAACAAAAGTCCGATGGATTTGTTCGCGACCCAACCAGGTCTGACTGATTCCCTCGCCCGCCACCATCTCTGGCTGCGCTGCGCCGCGTTGCGCTCTAATTATCTCCGCTGCGCTGCGCTTCTTCAACATTCTTGTCGCCCGCTGAAACTCACTCTCAATTCTCGATCTCGCTCGCAAAATCACGTTCGTTTCGCTCACCATGACAGACACAGCCTGTCCCTTTTTCTCCCCCCTCTGTGTCCATCGACGTCCCTCGTCGCTCTGCGGGTCTTTCGACGAATCTCAGCCGTTCAATCCGACAATCAGTGAAGGTGAGCTCGCACACCTCCGTTCGACGCGCAACCAGCCACTAACCGCCTCACTCTCTGCACCCAACCAGTGCTTTCCTTACTCTCACTATGCACTAACTCGCTATGTTTAAGAGCGTAGCTTGCCTATTTTCTCTATTCTTTTTTTCTCAAAGCACCCTGGCTGCCTTCACTCAACCAGTCCCTGCTCCTCCTTGCTCTGCCCTAATACTCCGCGTCAAACAGTGCATCCGAGCAAACCCTAATTTCCGTCCCGCCCCGCAATCCTGCAGATTCGCGACGAGTACCTCGTCGTGCGCGATTTCCTGGGGAGATCGCTGCTGCTTTTTGAGTCAATGCAACCAAACAGCGCAGCCACCCAAACCCTAATTTCCGTTTTGCCCCGTACCCCCGCAGATCCGCGACGAGTACCTCGTCGTGCGCGATCTCCCCCCGCCGCTGCCCGCGGGGCAAGCCAGCAAGGACTCCGCGCAGCCCGCGGGCGCAGGCGCGCCAGCAGGGGGGGCGGGCGCGTGCGGAAGCCTGCCGTCGCTGGCGGCGGTGGTGGAGCAGGCGGCGGCGCAGCCGCAAGCGGGGCTCGCAGGGCCTCCTACGGCCCCCTCCGCGCCTGGTAAGCCGTTGCCCCTCTCTGCTCCTGGTAAACCGTTGCATCTGTCCGCTCCTGCTGCGCCGTTTTCTTCCCTCCTGCTTGTCTTCCCTCACCACCCCCGTTGTGACGCTTCACCACCCCGCCGTTTGCCAAACGTTTCAATGTGCTTTTCCCGTATCTCTGCCTGCCTACCTAGCACGCGTGGGTCTCCATTCTCGTCCCGTGCTACTCCATCCCACCTTGAGGCCAGCATCACACTCGAGCATGGGAATTAACCGCTCTCAAACTCCTCTGCTCAAACACCTTGTCACTCTCGAGTCGATTCAAAAGTCAACCCGCCCACGTGTGCACCAGAGGCATTATTATTAAGTATTCTCCTCTTCCATTTTCCTGACCGCTCCTGTTCCCCTTGTCTCCCCCTCCCGCGCATGGCAGGGAGTGCAGGCAGCAATGCTGCAGGAGCCGCTGCTGGCATTGCCCCTGGTGCCTCCAGCGCCATTGTGCTCGCCTCCAGGTCAGCTGGTTACCAGGTTACCATGTAACAGGGTTAGCACCGCGGGTAATCAAGATATTACCACAATTCCACAGTCACCATGTGTGGCCACCGAGAGTCACACGCACACGCACGGTGCTCCAAAGTTCTAGCTGCTCTCCTTTCCCATCTCATGGTTCGCATCCAGCCAGCATGACGAGCCCGTAACTACATGGCCCACGTGTTCACTTCACATCCTGGGCTCAACGGTCAGGGGCAACTCTAGCTTTGCCCTTGCTCTTGCTCATTCACGCCTTGCATTCCTCTACTCAACTCAATCCGACCAAATGCGGTGAACGCCCACCAGTTTTCCCGTTTCCTCCTCACACCCCCCCAGCCTCCCCCCTTCCCTTCCCTGTGCCACATCCTCACCCCTGAGTTTCTGCTTCCTTCCCCATCCATCCCTTTCTCTCTCCCCATCCCCACATTATGCCCCCCGTCGTACTCTCCCTCGCAGCTCTGCAGGCCAGGGGGCCATGGTGCCGCTCACGGCGCCTGGCGCTGCTGCTGCTGCGGCGCCCTCCAATGCCGTCACCGTCGCAGACAGGTGCGGGTGGCGTCACTGGCAGTCGTAGTGTCATCCTGACGTTCATGATGACATTCTGCTGCGCCCGCCCCCTCTTCCCCTCCCCCTCTCCCTCTCCTCCCCCCCCCCCCCCCCCCCCCCCCCCCCCCCCCCCCCCCCCCCCCCCCCCCCCCCCCCCCCCCCCCCCCCCCTTTTTCTAATGGCGTTCTTCTCCCTGAGTCGTGCGAAATTTCCTTGTTCTATAGTCTTAACTGACCTAGTTTTTGTCGTTTCCTTGTTTCCCTCACGCCTATTGCACTCCATCAAACCCCACTTATTTCTACCCCATCCTCACCCTCCCCCTCTACCTTCCCCTCCTTCCTTCCCCTTCGTTCCCTTTCAACCCCCCATCACCAGGTACAAGCCCAGTGCAGCCAACATTCGTCGTCTGCCCAGCAAGTGGCCCAACCAAACCTGAGTGGCACCCGCCTTGGAAGAGTTTTTAGACGTCTCAAAACCCGTCCCCCCCCCCTCCCCTCCCATCACCAGGTACAAGCCCAGTGCAGCCAACATTCGTCGTCTGCCCAGCAAGTGGCCCAACCAAACCTGAGTGGCACCCGCCTTGGAAGAGTTTTTAGACGTCTCAAAACCCGTCCCCCCCCCCCTCCCCTCCCATCACCAGGTACAAGCCCAGTGCGGCCATCATACGCCGTCTGCCCAGCAAGTGGCCCAAGCCTGAGTGGCACCCGCCTTGGAAGAACTACCGGGTCAGTGCAACCCAATTCAGCCCAACTCAACCCAACCCAACTCAACCCAACTCAACCCAACTCAACCCAACCCAACTCAACCCAACTCAACCCAACCCTACCCAACCACCCCTTGGGCTTGCTATTTCTTGGACCTACTGGTCGGTTTTCTCTCCGTGCTGCTAAACATGTGAGAGCAATGCATTGTGCGTAACCTTTATTCTTGCATATACGTTTCTTTTTTTCTTTTTTTTGAGAGGGGGGAGTTTTTTTTTTTTTTTTTTAGCCTTTGGCCGAGCCTTCTCTATATGCCCCCTCACTTCGTCCTCGCGTCAAGGGTTTAAAGAAACTGTTGTCTCTCTTAAGAAATTTTCCAGAAAAACGTTATCGTAAAAGACTTCTTGGAACGGTTTGATACAGTTTAGGAGGTGTTTTCTGTTTGGTTGCTGACTTCGACCCAACCCTGCTCTCTATTCCCTTGCTTTTTATTATCTCCTCATCTCCCCCACCTGTCCTTCGCATCTTCCTACACCACCCTCTTTACCTCCATAATCGCCCCACCAGGTGATCAGTGGGCACATGGGGTGGGTGCGCTCAGTGGCATTTGAGCCAGGCAACGAGTGGTTCTGCACCGGCTCTGCTGATCGCACCATCAAGGTGAGCTTTGTAGGGGATCGACCTATGGATTCAAACCATTCTATGGATAGAGAAGTCGCGGCAATTCATTTCTCATGGGTGAGAAGGCTGGAAGGGAAGCTGGTTGGGGTGGGAAGTGGTTGGGATGTTCAACCACCAATGGCCCGCATGTTGTATTTGAAAAGTTTGGGTTGGATTGGAAGAACCGAATACAACATGCGGACCAAGTGCACCCGGATTGTGCATCTCTCCAGTCCAATCCACACAGACATAGCCTTGCCTGTGTTTTGGGGCTACATGACAAATAGTGGACTGGCAGCCCAACACAACACAAATGTACAACCAAATTGGGAGTACAGGCATTTTGGTGCTTGTACACCCTTGGTGGATTGCCCAACTCAATCGTAAACCACAATTGGTGCACACTGCACAGGCACACTAGCCGATCAGGCTATAGATAGACTAACATGAACTGGGTTTAGCCGCGAATCTGGGCTTGTACTAAGCGGTTTTTACTTAATGCCAAGCTTCCTGTTTATACTTTGCAGACATGTTTTACCTCTGCGTTCTCCCCCGTCTTGAGTCGACTTAAAAGTCAACTCCCTGTTTGTGGTTTTGAGATGTGTTTTGCCATTGCGTTCTCTCCCCTTCCCCCTGCCCACAGATCTGGGAGCTGGCAACAGGCAAGCTGAAGCTGACTCTCACCGGCCACATTGAGCAGATCCGAGGTGAGGAGGGGTGAGGTCAGGTGAGCAAAGGTGTGGCGAGGTGAGGAGAGGAGGTATGCGGGGAGGTGAAGCTGATTCTCACAGGCCGCATTGAGCAGGTCCGAGGTCAGGAGGGATGCGAAGGAGAGGTGAGGGTATCTTATGATACGGCTCAAAACATGCTGAAGAGGACTCTTACAGAGCATCTTGAGCAGGTGCGTGCGAGGTGAGGAGAGGTGAGGGAGGTGAGGTGAGCACAGTTGGGAGGAGTGAGCAGATGAGCATGTGTGTGTGCTGTCAATTAGGGTTGAGCAAAAAAACGGGCTGGGCCCGGTCCGGGTCGGGCCAGCCCAGAAATGCCCCGGGCCGGGTCTCAAATTTAGGCTGTCGGCCGGCCCGGCCAGCCGGGCTGTCGGCGGCCCGCGTTTGGCCCGCCTGTTTAGGGGCGGGCCGGGTCAGCCCGAAGCATTGGTGTCCATCTGCATCGCTCTAGCACCGACAAACGTAGTAACTTTGTATTCTGACATGCTCTTGCTGTCAACATCAACGTCCATGTTGACAGCAAGAGCATGTCAGAATACAAAGTTACTACGTTTGTCGGTGCTAAAGCGACGTAGATGGGTCGGCCCGCTTTTGGCCTGCCTCGGGGCGCGGCCCGGGTTGGCCTGGATGTCGCGGGGGTCTAACTTGAGTTGCGTGACATTGTGGGCTGACTCAATTTCGTCCTAGTTTGTTCCAGCAGATCTTCCTTCCCTTTTCGCCACAATCTTCGATCTCACTTAGCTGGTTTAGGCCCAACTATTAGATAATCTAGAATAGCGCTCCAATTTCTAAGGTACTTAGAAACTTGCCGTTGTTTGGCGCGACACTGCCTTTTACCACGACGAAATCAGAACAGCTGTGCGATACAATTTATTTCTAGGGTTTCGCCCTGAAGCTGTCAAAAGAGAGTAATTTAACCCTGAAGCCTATACTGTAATAGCACCCGGGCCGGTCCGGGTCGGGCCTTACACAGCCTGGGTTGAGCCGATTGCGGTCCGACCACCTTCTGGGCGGGCTCGGGCTGAGGTTTTGCCATCACGGCCCAGCCCGGCCCCCTTTTTTGGGCAACCCAGCACGACCCGACCCAGGCCGGGCCCAGCCCGGCCCATGCTCAAGCCTGCTGTCAATCCAAACCAAACGCTGCCATACTTTCACTGCTCCCGTCCCATCCTTTGCATTCTCTTTCACCCTTCCTCTCCGTCTCCTCTTTCCCCCACGTTCTCTTCCCCTCCATCAGGCCTGGCAGTGAGTCCCAGGTACCTCTACATGTTCTCAGCTGTTCCCACCTCTAACGTCCTCCGTCCTCTTCCCCCCCACCAGGCCTGGCAGTGAGTCCCAAATACCCCTACATGTTCTCAGCGGGTGACGACAAGTTGGTCAAGTGCTGGGACCTCGAGTACAACAAGGTATGTGACCCGCTGCTGCCCCCCCTCATTCTCTGCACTGCACTCACAAGCTCGTCAAGTGCTGGGACCTTGAGTACAACAAGGTGCGTGGCGTATAGCTGTTAGTGTGTGCCCTCATACGCTCTGCACTGCACTCACAAGCTCGTCAAGTGCTGGGACCTTGAGTACAACAAGGTGTGACAGTGTCACGCGTCACGATCTTCTACTGATGCTGCTGCTGCTTGCTGTCTCACGCCCTGCATGCACACTCGTACACGTGCACACGCATGCCTGCCTGCAAATGGTGACATCTGCACTCACCGTTGGCTGTGCTGTGGGCGCGCACCTTTGGGTGGATGTATGCTTCACACTGTGCCATCTTATGCAATCTCATCAGACTTCTGTGATTTGTTCTTCCTCGACAGGTGATTCGCTCGTACCACGGACACCTGAGTGGCGTGTACTGCCTTGCGCTGCACCCCATGCTCGACGTGCTCCTCACCGGCGGCCGGGACTCTGTTTGCCGGGTCAGTTAGTGGGTTGGGATGCAATGGAATGCGTTTCTGTGCGGTTGAATGTGGTGGATTGTGGTAGTGCTAAGGTTGGGCGTGGAGTGTATTGCCTTGCGCTGCACCCCATGCTCGACGTGCTCCTCACTGGCGGCCGGGACTCTGTGTGCTGGGTCAGTGGGCTGGTTAGGATGCGGTTGAATGCAGTGTAATCTGGTAGTTATAAGGTTGGGTGGCATTACGTGTACCGCCTATTGCCTGACGCTGCACCCCATGCTGGATGTGCTTCTCATCGGCGGCAGAGTTTCCATCTGCAGGGTCAGTGGGTTCAAAATGGGTTGAATGCGGTGGGATGCTGTGGGTGGCTGGCGGATGTGGTGGAGTGCGGTGAGCTCTAGCAGTGGTATGGTGCTTTCCAGTGGTGTGGAGTGGTCTGTGGTGGTATAAAGTGTCACCAGCTCAATGCATCCCGCTCCCATGCACTCCATGCGACCACGATAACCATTTCCTTGCATATGCGTATGCCATGCTATACCCCTGCCAGCCATGCTGTGCCATGTCTCTCATGCACTGTAATCTGTGTGATGCAGTGCCATGCCACACACATGCACACCTTCGCCCCGCCCCGGCATGCATGCCTGTACCCCACACAACCCATCCCACCCCGCCCCATTCCTCCCCTCTGTTGGTGTGTGCCACACCAGGTGTGGGACGTGCGCACCAAGGCGCAGATCTTTGCCATGCCGTGTGTGTGCACACCAGTACCCTACCTTACCGCACCCCACCGCTCTGTTCCGTACATGTGCCCTCATGCATGGCAGGTGTGGGACGTGCGCACCAAGGCGCAGATCTTTGCTCTCGCGGGCCACGACAACACCGTCTGCTCCGTCATCGCGCAGGCCACTGTGAGTGCCCTGCCCTGCTGTGCCGCGCCATTCTGTGCCATGTGCGGTATGAGTGTGCGTGCATGGTTGTACATGGTTGTGCATGGGTATGCAGGGGCATGCAAGTGCGATTCTTTCGTCCAGGTTCCGTGCTATTGATGGGTTCAAACGGGGGGCAAATGGCACATCATACAATCGACTGAGTTGGGATGGGGAGGGGTCGTTATTGCTATCCTTTGCACTCTGCATTGCTCGTCCACACGTGCGTCGACTCCCCACAGCTCCTGTTGCTCCTATTTCTCGCACTGACAGATAGCCACGTGGAACAAGTTCTGGTCACTCCCAGTCGTTTCACTAAGGCTCCCAGTCCCTCTGTCTCGAAAGTAGTTTTGGTGCTTACTGCTCCTGCCCGCACCTGTGTCCTCCTGTCCTGTGCCCATCGTCAACACTAGCGTCACGGCGGCACGCCATTCTCCCCCTCGTGCATGTGCTGCTCCTTTCCCCCTCGCCCCGCACATGTGCCTTGTCCCCTTCCCTCCTTCCTCCCCGCCTTCCCCCTCTGTGCCGCCCTTTACCTATACTGGGACGCTTATCCACTCCCTTCCCTCGTGCGCACCAGGACCCCCAAGTGATAACGGGCTCACACGACACCACTGTGAAGCTCTGGGACCTGGCAGCGGGTGAGTGCTTGTCTGTTGTCCTGCACCGCTTCATGTGTGCGCTGCACCGCTTCATGTGTGCGCTGCACCGCTTCATGTGTGCGCTGCACCGCTTCATGTGTGCGCTGCACCGCTTCATGTGTGCGCTGCACCGCTTCATGTGTGCGCTGCACCGCTTCATGTGTGCGCTGCACCGCTTCATGTGTGCGCTGCACCGCTTCATGTGTGCGCTGCACCACTGCATGTGTGGCTTCGTGCACCTCCATTTTGTCTCTGCACGTGTATGTGAGCATGGATGTGTGTGTATATGCTCATGCACGCACAGCTTATCCTATACCCACCCCACATGCAACCAGGCAAGGCCATGTCAACACTCACCTACCACAAGAAGTCCGTCAGAGCCCTAGCCAAGCACCCCTTCGAGTGCGTACCCTCTCCCTCCTGCCCTGCCCCACCCTGCCCACCGTATCCCATCGTGCTGCCACTGGATCCTTGCATGCATACATGCTTGCTTGCTCTCCGTCCTTCAACTTGTCACACCACTGCTCTGTCCGTCCTCCAACACCCGTCTCTGCCACCCTCCCCTCCCAACTCCACCCCTCCCCTTCCTTTCCCTCCCCTCCCCTCCCCTCCCCTCCCCTCCTCTCCCCTCCCCTCTCACCCATCCGCACCTGGCTGCCTCCGTGGTGCATCACCCATGTGCAGGAAGACGTTTGTGTCGGCATCAGCGGACAACATCAAGAAGTACAAACTGCCCAAGGGGGAGTTCCTGCACAACATGCTGTGAGCCCCCCACTGCCCCACTGCCCTCGTTCCCTCTCCCCTCCATTTAGTTCATACCTTGTGTGCACATGCCATGCATTAGCGCTGAAGTACAAACTGCCCAAGGGGGAGTTTCTGCACAACATGCTGTGAGTGAAGGGGGAGTTCCTGCACAACATGCTGTGAGTGAAGGGGGAGTTCCTGCACAACATGCTGTGAGTGAAGGGGGAGTTCCTGCACAACATGCTGTGAGTGAAGGGCGAGTTCCTGCACAACATGCTGTGAGTGAAGGGCGAGTTCCTGCACAACATGCTGTGAGTGAAGGGCGAGTTCCTGCACAACATGCTGTGAGTGAAGGGCGAGTTCCTGCACAACATGCTGTGAGTGAAGGGCGAGTTCCTGCACAACATGCTGTGAGTGAAGGGCGAGTTCCTGCACAACATGCTGTGAGTGAAGGGCGAGTTCCTGCACAACATGCTGTGAGTGAAGGGCGAGTTCCTGCACAACATGCTGTGAGTGAAGGGCGAGTTCCTGCACAACATGCTGTGAGTGAAGGGCGAGTTCCTGCACAACATGCTGTGAGTGAAGGGCGAGTTCCTGCACAACATGCTGTGAGTGAAGGGCGAGTTCCTGCACAACATGCTGTGAGTGAAGGGCGAGTTCCTGCACAACATGCTGTGAGTGAAGGGCGAGTTCCTGCACAACATGCTGTGAGTGAAGGGCGAGTTCCTGCACAACATGCTGTGAGTGAAGGGCGAGTTCCTGCACAACATGCTGTGAGTGAAGGGCGAGTTCCTGCACAACATGCTGTGAGTGAAGGGCGAGTTCCTGCACAACATGCTGTGAGTGAAGGGCGAGTTCCTGCACAACATGCTGTGAGTGAAGGGCGAGTTCCTGCACAACATGCTGTGAGTGAAGGGCGAGTTCCTGCACAACATGCTGTGAGTGAAGGGCGAGTTCCTGCACAACATGCTGTGAGTGAAGGGCGAGTTCCTGCACAACATGCTGTGAGTGAAGGGCGAGTTCCTGCACAACATGCTGTGAGTGAAGGACGAGTTCCTGCACAACATGCTGTGAGCCCTTCCATGCCCTCCCTCCCTCTCCCTTCGGTTGGGACATCATGCAATGCTTTTGTTGCATTGCCTTGTGCATAATGCTTTTGTGCTGTTACAGTAAGTGCTTCATTGCGAGTCTCTGCTCCATATGCTGTTTACTGCTTAATGTATTTTTTCACGAAATCTCAACCATCATTTGCCCTTCTTCCTGACCCACCCATCCCCCCTGTGCATCGCTCTACCACTTTTCTCTCTACGCCAACCCACCCATCTGCACCGCAGCTCACAGCAGCGCACCATCATCAACACAGCAGATGTGAACGAGGACAACGTGCTCGCCTCAGGAGGTCCCTTCCACCCTTCCACCTCTCCTCTTGTCTCGCTTTCCGACTTGAATCCCTCCCACACTCGCGTGCACTTGCCGCTCTCTTTCTTTCCCTCCTTGCACCGTTACTTCTCCTGTACTTTCCTGCATGCGTAGTCCCACTCAAAAGCCGTTGCTTCTCCTGTACTCCCCCCCCCCACCTCGTGCGTTGACATATGTCATCATCCCCCATCATCCCCATCCCCACTCGTCTACTCCCTGCACAGGTGACAATGGGTCCATCTGGTTCTGGGACTGGAAGAGCGGCCACAACTTCCAGCAGACGCAGACCATCGTGCAGCCCGGTGCGTCATTCTCCCTCTGTGCTCTGTGTCCTCAAACCATTCACTTACACTCTCTCGCCAGTGGTTTTTCTGTTCCTTCTGTTTCTCTGGACCGCTCGCTCAACTCTCCCACACAAGTGCTCTTCACGCATTAGACCTGCCTACCCTTGCTCCTACTCCTCCCCCATCTACTTCCCCTGCCTCTCCACAGGCTCACTTGACAGCGAGGCGGGCATCTGCCCTTGCCCATTCAAACCATCACATGTGTCATGGGCTCCTCCCTCTGTCTTTTGCCTTTCGCAGGCTCGCTTGACAGCGAGGCGGGCATATATGCGATTGCGTTTGACGTGACGGGCAAGCGCCTGGTGACGTGTGAAGCGGATAAAACCATCAAGATGTGGAAGGAGGACGAAAATGCCACGCCTGAGACGCATCCCATCAATTTCCGGCCACCCAAAGACATGAGGCGCTTTTGAAACAAATAGTTTGAGTGGAAGTTGACATGTTTTTCTGGTACTTTGAACATTATGCCAAAAGATGTGATTAATTCATCTGATCTGTGTAGTACATGAGCCAAATGCCCAGCATTGTGCAGATTGAAATTGCAGGTTTCCCTTTTGTATCAAGTATTATTTTGAAATACATAATACCAGTGTTCTTTAGCGCATCCTACAGAAAGGGTATTTTGCTGGAAAGGGTGCAGTTCCGAGATTCCTTGTATTGGAGTTTGACTTACCAGGGTCCAGGACCGCTAGCTAGCGTCATCGCTAGATCGATGGCAGCTCGCGTCGCGTCTTTCCCAGCTTGCGGGCGCTTGTCCGCCATGTCCCGCCGCTCGTGTTGCGCTTTGCGACGGCTTTGGAAAATGAGAAACGCGAGTTCCGCGAGGGAACCCAGGCAAAACCGATGGTTCGCCGGGACGAGGCCGGTTTATTCCCGTCATGCAAATGATGTTGGCCAATGAACCGTTGTGTCGGATGCGACAGCTGACGTTGGGAACCCAATGGATGAGCCGTCAGCAAACCCATCTGCCCCGGGCGACGGACCCCAGGCTCGGCAGAGGCTGCCGCGTGGTTGTGTGACTCGTAGACTCCTTCCGGTCGATGCGACAGTTGGCTTTGGCTGACGCTACACGACGATGTCGTGTCGTCGTGCTGTACGAGGCCTGCTGGTAACCGGGTGCGTCCTGACTGTATCGAGGTTACGCGTGCTATCCAACCTGCTCATGCTCGACTCACTGAGCCGTTCTACACCTTTTCGGACCGCCGCAAAAGCTCCCGCAATCCAGGTTCTCAGGAGGTTCGTGTTTCACGGTGTGAATGAAGCAGAGAGCAAGCTCTACCGAATGTGCGAGCAGCTCAGCGCCACGCCACGCTATACCCCTGAACGTATACCCTCTCGGAGAATGATGGTCTTGCCTCTTGCCACGACGACTTCCCAGGACACTGATGGTCCTAAAGCACAATAGCAGGTCCTATTCGGCGTACTCTGTTGTTACTGTCAAACCTAGTAGCTCCAGCAAGAACAGCAGACTTGGAGAGCACAGCAGATCCAGGGAAAAGGGCAGATTCGAGGAAAAGGGCAGATTCGGGGAAAAGGGCAGATTCGGGGAAAAGGGCAGATCCAGAGAAAAGGGCAGATTCGGGAAAAGGGCAGATTCGGGGAAAAGGGCAGATTCAGGGAAAAGGGCAGATTCAGGGAAAAGGGCAGATTCGGGGAAAAGGGCAGATTCAGGGAAAAGGGCAGATTCGGGGAAAAGGGCAGATTCGGGGAAAAGGGCAGATTCGGGGAAAAGGGCAGATTCGGGGAAAAGGGCAGATTCGGGGAAAAGGGCAGATTCGGGGAAAAGGGCAGATTCGGGGAAAGGGCAGATTGGGGGAAAAGGGCAGATTCGGGGAAAAGGGCAGATTCGGGGAAAAGGGCAGATTCGGGGAAAAGGGCAGATTCGGGGAAAAGGGCAGATTCGGGGAAAAGGGCAGATTCGGGGAAAAGGGCAGATTCGGGGAAAGGGCAGATTGGGGGAAAAGGGCAGATTCGGGGAAAAGGGCAGATTCGGGGAAAAGGGCAGATTCGGGTAAAAGGGCAGATTCGGGGAAAAGGGCAGATTCGGGGAAAAGGGCAGATTCAGGGAAAAGGGCAGATTCCGGGAAAAGGGCAGATTCGGGGAAAAGGGCAGATTCGGGGAAAAGGGCAGGTTCGGGGAAAAGGGAAGATTCGGGGAAAAGGGCAGATTCGGGGAAAAGGGCAGATTCGGGGAAAAGGGCAGATTCAGGGAAAAGGGCAGATTCGAGGGCATAGTCGGGGAAAAGGGCAGATTTAAGGAGAAATGCAGATTTTGAAAGAACGGCAGATTCTGAAGCACAGTATGTTCAGAAAGCTGAGATAATTCAGGAAGCACGCTTGCAGCAGGGAGCTGCGTTGCAGCCATCAGGGCAGCAGCAGCAGCCGAAACAGCAGCAGTTACTGTTCAGAGCAATCAGCAGCCGCATCGCAACAGCAGCAGCTCGTGCAACAGCAGAACAATATGCACCAACACCACCAGCAACATGTGTTGCTGCAGCAACAGCAACAGCAGGAGCAGCAGCAGCTTCAAAACCTTCCACTGCAGCAGCAGCAGCAGCAGCAGGAGCAGGAGCAGAAGGGTGGGGTGGTCGAATCGAGCCCCTGCAATATAGGGCGTTGAGATCCATCCACGAGTCGATCTGACACATGGAGGAGCTCTTTGGCGTGAAGGCACTGCTGCTGCCTGAGCGAGTGGGTGGGTGAGAGGATGGTGGGAGTGGGGAGGAAGCGGCGGAGGAGCAGAGGGAGGCGGGAGAAGGGGGAGAAGGGGGTGAAGGGGGAGAAGGGGGCGCGGGGTTAGCGGAGGGAGGGGGAGGTGGAGATGCGGCAGCGGAGGATGAGGAGCAAGAAGAGGAGGGCGATGAGGGGGATATGAGTCCTGTGGCGAAAGGGGAGAACGTTATGGCTAGGTGGGAGAAGGATCAGAAGGACGCAGAGTCTCGGAGACGGAAGGCAGCAGCGCATCATGGGGACCTGCTGAAGTTACAGCTTTAGGAGCTGATCACGTGGTGGAAGAGAAAGGTCGACGGGCGGCTGGGCCCGCGCGAGCATGATCCGTTTCAGGGGAAGGAAGAAGAGGAGAGAGCAGCAAAGGACGATCTACGATCCTGGCTGTGGTTCGCCTGCTGCCCGCGTTCCCGAAGGAGTGTCAGAAGAGCCTGGGGAAGATGTGTGATGACGGGAGGGAGGTGTGTGAGAGGGGGGATGTGGATTTGGACTGGGTGGAGCGGGTGGTGCCGTATAACCCTCCGGAGGTGCTCACGATGATGCTCACGGAGAAAGGCATCACGCAGCTGGTGAGTTCTTTATGATGCGTATTGGGCGAGGGAGTGTGATGAGCTGTAGCGGGTGAGGGAGTGGGTGTGGGAGAGTGAGGATGAGATTCTTGAGTAACCAACAACTTCCCTCCTCTTCCCCCACCCACCTTGCCACACAGGAGGAGGTGATGCTAACGAGGAAGGTGCGGGAGAGCGAGATGGTGGTGGCTGAGATGATGAGAAACTCAAGGGAGGACGGCGTTGACATGCAAGCTTGTGTGACAAGCCTCAAGTGCCCTCTCTCCCTCAAACGCATCAAGGTCAGATCCTTAGCCAATCCCTGCCCTCCTCTTTTTCCTCCTCAACTTTCCTCTTGTCCTCCCCCACCTCCCCGCCCTCCCCCCCTCCCACTGCCACTGCTACTACTACTCATGTTTCGCACCTCGTTCCACTTGAACGTGGACCTTTCATGTTTCAATTGTATTCTCATCACCTGCTCTTGTATTTAGCTGCTATGGGCAGGCAAAGTGTACTTGTTTGTTCACCGTTATGAAGGCGCATTTCGAGTTCACATTATACCTCCTCCTGAACCAAGTCTTGAGACCCAGAAGCCACACTGATTTTCTCACCCGCCCTCTCCTTCTGCAGGTATCGATGCACAAGAAGTGTGGCCACGAAAGCACATTCAACCAAGCTTACGTCCGCTTGAGACTCAAGAAGTTATTTCTGAATCTTCCATCCCCATTCTCCCATCCCCATTCTCCCATTGCAGTTGCCAGTGCGTGGCAAGAAGTGCTCCCAGGAGAGCACGTTTGATCTCGCGTCTTACCTTCGCATGAACCAAGGCTTGGCTAAGAAGGATAAGTCGGGGTGGCGCTGCCCTATTTGCTACCAGCCTCTGCTGTGGTCCGATATGTTTTTGGATGGATTCAGTGAGTAGACATATGAGAGCACACTGCACTGCACTTCACCCCACTACAATCCATCGCCTCTCACTGCACTTCATTGCACCGGACTCCACCATTCTGCAACCCACCAGTGCAATAGATGCTTAAAGTGAGAGGTATGGACTATGTATGATGAGTGGGAGGTGTTTCCACATGGCGGAGACAGGCAAGTGGTGTTCCACGTGGCAGTTGTGCTGATTCAGATGGAACTCACCAATTTGTCCACTCCCTCGCTCTCCCAAAACTGTGTTTTCAGATGAGCTGGAGGATAAGGGTGGAGGTGCTTTTTGATGGCGGGTGGAGAAGGGTGGAGAGTGGTAATGGGGCTGCTGGCGCTCACTACTTCCCTGTGTTTCTCATCCGCTCCCCTCTTCCTTCTCTTCCTCCCCCACTTTCCCCATGTTTTGCCAACTTTGCCCAACAGTGCAAAAGACTCCTGGAGGAGGAACAAGGACGAGGACGGCAAGGTGGAGTGGAGCAGATTTTTGGTGGCAGGTATAGGCGGGTGGTAAGCGGAAGCGGGACTGATGAGCCGGGACTGATGGCTCATCCTTTTCCCTCTTTTTCTTCTGCCTTCTCCTCCGCCCCCCTTCACCGCAATACACTGCACCCTACCACTCTCCCAACAGTGCAAGAGATTCGTGAAGAAACGGGTGAGGAGGACAGTGAGGTGGAAGTGTTTCCGGATGGCAGGTGGAGAAGGGTGGAGAGCGGTGATGGGGAGGACGGTAGCTGCTCCGAGTCAGATGAGGAGGAGAGGTTGATTTTGAATGCGTTGAAGAGGAGAGAGGAGGAGAAGAGGAAGAAGGAGGAGGAGGGGGGGAGTGTGGAGGAGGAGAGGAGGGGGTTGGAGGGAGGGGTTGAGGGAGATGTAGTGGGACTGAATGCAGTTAGGGGTGAGGAGGAGGGAGGGATGGGGGATGGGGCAGCGGACGGGAGAGGGAGTGACGAGGATGAAGGGGGAGACGTGAGGGATACTGCTTGGGAGTCTGCCAGCCCTTTGAACTCCCTTGCTGCTGCTGCTGCTGCTGCTGCTGCTGCTGCTGCTGCTGCTGCTGCTGCTGCTGCTGCTGCTGCTGCTGCTGCTGCGCGCAGAAGGAGGTGTCGCACGAGCAGAAGCTCCAGCTGCAGCAGCACCCCCACATAGAGCAGCCGAACCCGCACCGCCACCGCGCCCGGCAGCAGTAGCAAGGGCCTTACCGTCGGTGGATGTCCATGGGACGACGAAGCAAGTAAACAGCAGCAACAGCAGCAGCAAGCAGGATCAGCTGTGGCAGGGGAAACTGCCGCAGGGGCTCAGAGCGGACGAGAGTGGCCCAAGCAGAGCGGAAGGGGAGTTGATTGGTGGCGGTGGCAGCAGCAGCCTTTGGGCGACTGGTGCAGCAGAATATGGTGGCGCGGGGGGGGGGGGGGGTAAACGGCGGGTGTAGTGAGGAGGGGAGAATGGGGGGAAGTGTTGGAGCCAGCGTAGGGAGAATTGGGGGAAGCATGGGGGTTCCTCTTGTTCCTGCTGGTGCTGCTTCTCCAGCTGCTTATGCTGATTGTGTTGGGGTTTCTGATATTCCCGTTTCCGCGTCCCAAAAGCACGCTTCGTCTGCTGCCGCTGTTGGTGCTGGCAGGTTTCCCGTACCATTGGAGATGGAGGATGTGGAATGTGCTTTTCCTAACGCTCCCCCTACCGCTCCCCTTACCTCTCCCCCTAATTTTCCCAATACCGGCCCCCTTTATGCTGCCCCTAGTGCTCCTCTTATCGCTCCCCTTGCTGCTTCCCCTACCGCTCCCCCTAGTGCCCCCCCTACCACTCCCCCGACTGCTCCCCTTACTGCTTCCCCTAGTGCTCCCCCTACCACTCCTCTTACTGACCCCCTTACTGCTCCCCCTAGTGCTTCCCCTTCTGCTCCCCCTACTCCTCCTGTTCCTGCTCTCCATACTGCTGCTGCTGCTGCTCTTGCTGCCACTGCTACTGCTGCTGCTGTAAATTGCTCCTCACCAGCTGCTGACGGTGCACCTGCTGTTCCTGCTGCTTCTGCTGGTGCCTCTATGGATGCACTGTTACCATCACCTGGCTTTTTGGAGGAGCTGCATGAGACCGTTGGGAAGTTGCTGCCGTGCAAGGCTTCTCTAGATTCGCTATTAGATGCCATTCCCCTCCCGATTCTAGAGGAGCTACTCGAGAAATGGGTGAAGATGCAGGAGTTGTGGGCAGAAATATGGCAGTGGTTTTCTGATGCAGTTCCACCATCAACTGGTGTTCTCTGCTCCTCTGTGGATGAGAATGTAGTAACGTCGAGATTGCCGCTCATAATATCGAGATCGAAGGAGTTGCTTGAGTTAAAGGCAGCGTGGCAGCAGCGCATTGCTGAAGCTGTTGCAACTGCTGCTGCTGCTGCTGGTGCTGCTGCCCCTCATTCTGTTGATGACCCCACTGCTGCCGCTGCCCCTTCTGCTGCTGCTGCTGCTGCCACCCCTTCGGCTCCTGCTGCCCCTCCTGGTGCTGCTGCTGTTGCCTCCACCGCATCTGCTTCAGCTGCCGCCGCCACCCCTGCTGCTGCTGCTGCATCTGTGGAGGGAGCAGTCCACTCGCCTCCCCCTGTAAGGCTTGGGCTCCCTCCTGTTGCAGTTGTGAAGCAGCTTAAGGCCACCATCAAGCATCTGGAGGTGAAGCTCTATTCGGGTTCCTTGAAACAGAATGAGAGCAGCAGCTTTGAGGATCTAAGGAAATTACAGCAGACGCTGCTCTCAGCTGGAGAGAGCCCTCGTGTGAAGGATGGAGGGAGAACAAAGGTGCAACGGCGCCCGTGGGGTGGAGGAATTCCAAGCCGGGAAGGTGGAGTTACTGGGGTGCGTCTCAAGGGTCAGAAGGAGGTTGTTGCTACATTCTCTTATGGCAAACCGAAGAAGGAGCCTCATGCTGTTGGCAGGTGGCCAAACCAGGCGAAGGAGTCCATATTTGAGGCCAGGCAGTGCGTTCTGTTTGCGTTCTACGTATTCAGGAGGGCGGACCAGGAGGAGTTGATGTACAGGAAGTACCTGGGGGAGGCGCTTATGGGCAGGCTAGACAAGCCGTCTGAGGAAGACAAGCAGAAGATTGCGCAAGCACTGGGTAAAAGCAGCGAGTGGCGTACGCTGGTGAAGGACATGCTGGTTGAATGCCCCCTATCAGCAGAGGAGTCGGCGGCAGCAGAAGAGGAGGTGGCAGCAGAGGGTGGTTTGGCAGCAGAGGGTGGTTTGGCAGCAGAGGGTGGTTTGGCAGCAGAGGGTGGTTTGGCAGCAGAGGGTGGTTTGGCAGCAGAGGGGGGTTTGGCAGCAGAGGGGGGTTTGGCAGCAGAAGGGGGTTTGGCAGGAGAAGGGGGATTGGCAACAGAAGGGGGTTTGGCAGCAGAGGAAGAGTGTGCTGGTGCAGTGGAGGAAGGAGGTGCCGGCACTGGCGTTGTGGAGCTGGCAAGTGGGCGCCCTGGCTGGCAAGCCCATCTCCAAGCATTCTGCGTGGAGCTGGAACGGCTGATTACGAAACTTCAGGAGCAAGAAGCTTCCAGAATCCAGCACCGGCAGGTAGTGTCTGAAATCCAGAACCGGCTGCGCGAATCCAAAAAATTGCTTGCTGAGTGGGAATATCCTGGTGTCTACCGCCTGAAGAAAGGGAAGACCCAAGCTTCCTTTCTCTGCCGTGGCAAACCGTGGTCCCTCGGAACGTGGAATGGCGATTCAGAGCAGTCATTTGCTGCGGCCAAGAAAGCCATTCTGTGCGCTAAGTTCGTCTTTGAATGGAGGCTGCATGTAGTGAAGGCTGGGGGGACGGAACTGCTGAGAGGGTGGAGAAATCGTATGAAGAGTTCCTTGGAAGGGCTCTCATGGGCAAGCTGCAGGAGGTCACGGAAGAGCAGGCTCGGTTGGCCATCGAATCAAAGAGGTGGGTTCGATTTTTAGAGGAGAATGAGAAGGCTCACAAGGGAGAACCCATCAAGGAGACGTGGCCCACTGAGCTGGACGAGCAGTTGTCTAAATTGGTTCCGCTGAAGAAGAAGAGGAGGAAAAGCGACGAGGAGGAGGCAGGAGCAGGGGTAGGAGCAGGGGGAGGGGGAGCAGGGGGAGGGGGAGGAGCAGGAGGAGGAGCAGGGGTACAAGCACAGGGAGGAGCAGGAGGAGGGGAAGGGATGAGGAGGAGGAGGAGGAGGAGGAGGAGGAGGAGGAGGAGGAGGAGGAGGAGGAGGAGGAGGAGGAGGAGGAGGAGGAGGGAGGAGGGGGAGGATAGCAGCAGCGGAAACGGGAGGAAAGGGGGTGACATTGAGAAGAGCATGAGGGGACGGGGCCCTTCTCTCCTCATTTGGGACGGCAACGAAAGGTGGGGATGCAAGCCTTTGCGGGCAATAGCCGTTCTCGTAGTTGTGCAAGTGCCCCGCTGCCCTCTGTCAGATCTTTCCACCAATCTCAAGTATCATCTGTCCCCTGCTCCTGCCCAGCCCTGCTCCTGCCCCGCCCTTCCCCGCCCTGTGAATTTCTCTCCACTGCTGCTCTCACTGCTTGTCTCCACTGCTTGTCCCCTCTGCATCTCTCTCAACCACTTCTCCCCACACCACCCCACACCCCTCTGCACTGCCTCTCCACTGCAGTGCACAGCAGGATTATCGTGCAGCCCAGTGCGTCGTCTCGCTCCGAAATGTGTTTTCAAACTGTCTAATATTGTTCTGTGCTGTGTGTCCATGTCACTTGCGACAGGGACATTTGCTCTTTCCACCGTGCCCTCAATTATCACGGTTTCCTCACTCACCTGCTGTTCATACCTGACGTTTCTGCTGCTCCCATTTGCATCCATCTCGTAATCTTGCTCTCCTCCTTGTGGTCGGTCTTGCAACCCTCCCATACACAAGTGCATTTCACCCATTCGTCTGCCATTTCCCTCTGCTCCTACTCCTCTCAAACGGTTCTTTGTATTAATGCGGATGTGGGTACATGAAAGGGCAACGATCAGCAGGTCTAGACAACTAACCTATTCCTCTCTCTATCTGCTTCCCCCTTTTACCCCAAGTTCGCTTGACAGCGAGGCAGGCATCTATGCGATGGGCTTCAACGATGTTACTTCTGAGTCAGACTCAAAAGTTCCCTGCTCCTACTCCTCCCTCCATCTGCTTCCCCTGCCTACACAGGCTCACTTGACAGTGAGGCGGGCATATATGCGATGGCGTTTGACGTGACGGGCAAGCGCCTGGTGACGTGTGAGGCAGACAAAACCATCAAGATGTGGAAGGAGGATGAAAACGCCACTCCGAAGACTTACCCCATCAATTTCCGGCCACCCAAAGACATGCGGCGCTTTTGAAACGAATGGTACCGTTTCTTCCCGGATATAGGACCTTGGGGACTTCCAGAAATTCATGAAAAATAATTAGGGTGAACATCATGGAGAATGGATTTGGATAAGACCCCCCTTTCATCTATTTTACTCGTAAAAAAACGATTCTCTGTACATAGTTCCTGTTGTGCATGTTCAGCTCCAATACCCTCAGAACCAGCACCAACACCCCCAAAGTCTATTGCAACCATTCGTGGTAGTGAAAGGCTGCTGCGGTGACTGTGAGCACGACTGCGGGGAAGGAGACAGCACCTAACATGCTACAGAGGGGAGAGGGGTAACGTGGGACACACCTGACAAGGCAGGCCCTCGGTGGGGTGGGTGTACCGGAGGAGCGGGAGTAGGAGAAGGGGCGAGGAAAAGGGGAGAGGGGAGAACCAAGAGAACTTGGTGAGGGTAGCGGGTGTAGTAGTACGACACAGACTCGACCTAAGGAGTGTCACGGCCCCTTCATTCCTTGGCATAGCTGGTTCAGACTAGCTTGACCATTCAACTAAGGTTGATGCAATGCTAGTATTGCTCATACAGCAGTCGCTCCGTAAGTCAGTTGCCATGTCATCGGGGAGGCACGTCAGGTCCCCTTTCCCTTTGTCGATTTCATCCTTTACTAAGAAGTATTGTAGCGCGATGTACTTCACGCGATGAAAGCGGGTTTGTTCGCGATCTTGATCACGCTTTGGTTGTCGCATTGGAGGCGGAAAGTTGGTGACGTCGCAATTCTGGCCTCCTACCGAAGCTCCAGTAGATAGAGCCCTTTCGAGAAACTGCAGCGGCGGCGGCAATGAATTCTGCTTCCATCGACAATGCTTCTGGGAATTACAAGAAATTGGTCCCGCTGGCTCGAGTCAAAAGAGGAAGTTGGTTCTTTACCGCCCACGTGGCCGACGAGGTTGAGTCGTGCGTATTGAGTAGGAAAGTCTAGTGTTGAGTGTTGAGATAAAGTACTTCGAATTGTGGTGGAGATCATGAAGGTTCTTAGTCATTCACGTATAAGAGTATCGGACCAGTTGGCTCGCGACGTAGGAAACGTCAGACCTATATGTGATAGAGGCGAAAAGCAGGCAACTTGGTTGCTGCTGATAAGTGTGCAATCATGCAGGGGTATTTTGTTCGGTTTGTAGTTAGGTCCAAGTGTGCAGTAAGGCGTTGCGAGTGGTGCATGTGAGTTGTTGAAATGCTCCCCAAGTATTCTCGCATACTTCGAACCTGAGAGGTGAATAGTTTCTGGGGCGTAGGTGATATTAAGGGTGCATTCCTGCGGAGACACTTGTGTCTCAAAGCCTTTGTGACGCGTAAAAACAATATATAACATACACTGTCTCAAACGCGAATCGCCCTAGTGCGATTGCCACTGTATTTTTCATTGGTCAGCGTGAAGCACGCTGACGTCGCTGACGACGTCAATGTTTATTTTTCGTACGCGGTTCGAAATGTCAATGCACCTGGTCTGCCTGCAATGCCAATTTCGCGCGGGAAAAGATCCCGCGCGTCGAAACCATACCCCAGCCAAGCGATGGAAGACACGAGTGTACAGTCAATTCTGTCGCCCAATCGCGCCCAACTGTGCATTCTCTCTGGTCTCCTAGTTTCGCGATACATTCTTTCTTTGTGACACGAGATTGACAAAATGTTTTGATGCGACTCGGGAAAAGGGGGATTGAGACACAAGTCTCCCCACAGGAATGCGCCCCAAGTCCAAGGGACTCCGTCACGCCACGATTGGTGGCGATGATGACACGGCTTCCCAAATTCCATTCGAAGTGATCGAGCAAGGTGTTACTCCTCCCTCCGTATAGCTAATTGTAGAAGTAGATGGCTAGGAGGATGTAGTGATTGAAAAGTTGAGGCGGTGCATCTCTAGATAGTGATGTAGATGAGTGAACCAAATTTCAAGCATTATTCATGCAGATATTGTTGCCACAGTCGTGGTGCCTACTGGATCCCGCTGGCACACTCTGGAGTCCCCTTCGACATAGGTATGTGGCTGTGGTATTCACACAGAAGTCCCACTTTTTTGATAGCACTCACCTTCCTGTGATTGCTGCTCGATCGGCAAACACCCATGTATCACACGATTTTTATGCTCGCGTCGCGTTTATTGCGCCCTGCCACTCTTTAATTTGAGAATATGTCAGAGCCTATCTTGGAATCGTTGGCTCAATGACTTTTGGAGGTGTGAAGGCCGAGTAGGTACAGCCCGGACACTGTGATGTTGTGACGGTGCTTAGGGGTGACATATTGTACATCGTCATCGTTGCAGGTGAGGCAGGCCGTGCATGGTCTTTGACACACGATGGTCCATATGGTCCTTCGTCATCATCATCGTCATCTTCGTCGTGGTGGCGCGGATTGACCTCAAGGTGTCCGCTAGAGGCATCTTGGTCGAGGATTGTTTTGGCAGCCTCGTCTTCCGGGATTGTGAAGCTACGTCCGTCGTGCATGTCTACTAGATCCGCGCCTGCTCTCTAGTTTATGTGGAATTGTGTGAGGGTGGGCCTCTCGTAATAATATATTTCGCGCTCGAGTGCGATCTTGTTGTTCAGTAGGTTGACGATGACCCATGCCTTGTACTTGTAACTGATGCCGAGATCAATTTCTGATCGTGCGTGGCTCGTGAACATCTTGATGGTTGAGGTAGTAGGAGGGTATTGCACCATGCAGCCCCACACGTAGAGCATTGAGGTGTCGCCTTCTTGCCCACCCACTTGATCTGCTGTGATGGATTTTTGGTAATCTCATTGTGGAGAGAAGGTTGTGTAGGCGCACAGCGTGACGCATAGCGTACGGTCAATATGTGGCTGGAAGCCGTGATTGATTCAGAAGCGCGCGCAACTTTGTCATGAGCATTGGTTCGAGACGACTCCTTGCTGCGGGTGCACATAGGGGAGAAAGATGTGGTGTACGATCCCCTGTTTACCAAGAAAATTCTTGAGCTCCTTGCTGGGAAATTTTGCTCCATCGTTTGTCTGCCATATTTGTTGTGTCGTCCTTGACTGTCGTTGTGCGTGAGCATGACAGAGCCTCGTACGCCCTGCTACGAAACTGGACAATGGCGATCCATGCATCCATTAATGTCAACATGTAGACTTCATCGTTAAGACAGCATTGGCCGGCCACGAGAAATCGATGTACACAGTATGCAGCTTTGGGTACTGATTGGTGCTTGGATAAAACAAGTGGAAGGGTTGGTGAGTTAACGCGGCTTTGGGGCAGACGGTGCAAGTATGTTGCTATGACGTGGTCCTTGGGTGTGAATATACTTTGGCGGGAACTGCTTCACGTGCTTGTTTGATCTGCTTCTCCTTCATCTTCTTCTTCGGTCGCTGTTGACAGCATTAGTGCGAGGAAGATGGGGTCGGGAATGATGAAGAGTGGAATGTTCGGTTTCGTAATGGTGCTTGGAACAAGGTCAGGCTCACGCATCTTGGGGCCGGGGCCATAGACGGTGCGACGGGGGATTGGCACGTCGTTCCCTCGTGTCCCACGGGTCACGCGGTGGCATAATGTGTTCTGTTGGAGGTGGTAGTCTCAAGAACTAGGCAGGAAATGATTGACTATCGAGAAAATTTTGGTACAA